GTGAACCCAAGACCTTTAGCAAGGTTTTGCGCCGACTATTACGACGTTTGTTAACATTTGTTTAGAAATTTAGATCATGTACAATTTCTACAAGTACAATATCCATATAAATTTCAGCCACAGTACATGAAAGTAACATAGAAGCATGTCGACATTTTCCCCAACTGTTCTTGTTGCAAATACAAACATCTTTCGTTTGTCACACCCTTAGAATATAAAGCGCACCATAATGGGTTCTACTGAGGACGTTATGACATACATACATTCATTCTGTTACGTGTAGGCTCGTACAAACTTGAAAAAGAAAAGAATGCATTCAACAAGCTTTGTAAATTTTAATAAAAATAATTTATTTCCCTAGAAAATAATGTAAAAATAGGAAATAGGACTTACGATTTGTGAAAATAATCCAACATTCCAGCAGAACTTTTTCAAGCAGGGGGAGAAGCAATGATTAGTGTCCTAACAAACATCTGCAAAAAGATCTGGCAAACAGGAGTATGACCATCACTATGGACCCAATCACTGAGCATCAGCCACCCCAAGAAAGGCAACTTGTAGAGGTGTCAAAACCAATCAGTCTTATAAGCCAGCCAAGCAAAGTCATATTGAGGATGCTGCAGAACATACTAAAGCCACAGGCTGAAAAAATCATTATCGATGATAAGACAGGTTTAAGAGCAGGGCGCAGAACAACGGAGCAGATCTTCAACATCAGGATATTGTGTGAGAAGTACCTCAAACACCAGCAAGATACAGATCTTCGTGGATTTCAAGAAGGCATTTGATATGGTATGACATGCAGCCTTGTGGGCGGCCATGTGACTGTACAACATAAAAACCAGCCTCATTACATTAATAGAGCACCACTATGACAAGACCACCAGTGATGTATACGTCAACGGTAGACTGCTCAAAATGAGGCTGTCTGCTCTCTCCCACATTATTCATCATCTTTCTGGAGAGAACCATTGCTGTCGGCATCGGAGGTAAAAGAGTCACCAACCTACAATTTGCCGCCGACATTGATGGACTAGCAGGAAATGTGCAAGAACTAGCTAGCTTAACAGAGAGCCTCGACAAAACCTTTAATGCCAACGGCATGGAAACCAGTGAAGAGAAGACCAAAATGATGACAAACAACACAAAGGGCATTATCACTGACCAAGGTACGAAGCAAGAAACATCCCACAGCTTCAAGTATTTGGGGGCAATAGTAACAGATGAAGGATCGAAGCCTGAAGTACTCTACACGATTGCGCAGACAAAAGCAGCGCTGACAAAACTGAAGCCCGTCTGGAACTATAAGAACATCATAATCAGTTTAAAGGCCAGACTTATGCACTCACTGGTGATCTCCATATTTCTCTACGCCCGTGAATCACGTACCATAAAAAGCTGACTTAGAGAAACGAATACAGGCCACAGAGAGGAGATACCTCCGAAAGTTCCTTGGCCTCTCATACAAAGACCGTGACACCAATGAAGAAATACGGCAAAGAAACAGACAAGCTATTGGGCATCACGAAGACCTTCGGACAACAGTGAAGAAACATAAACTACAGTGGTATGAGGATGTCTCATGATCATCAGGACTTGCCAAGACAATCCTGCAAGGCATTGTACAAGGAAGAAGAAAGATAGGCAGGCACAGAAAGAGGTGGGAAGACAATATTCAGGAGTGGACAGACTTGACACTGAGCGACTCACATAGAAAGGCAGAAAATCGAGAGGAATGGAGTAAAATGGTGGTTGTCCTGTCTCATGCAGTGCCCCAATGGTCTCTACCAAACTATGAGACTGGTGATGATATATATATATATATATATATATATATATATATATATATATATATATATATATATATATATATATATATATATATATATATATATATATATATAATCAATCGACATTCTTGTGTATTTTGATAATATTTGTACAAAGTAGTTAAAATACAACGATGCAATTGATTTCTGTTCTTTCTTATTATTTTTTAATTTTGCTACCACAAGACAAGAACTTCGTATGAAATTTGACAATCGATCATAACACTAAATGGACAGCATTCCTGCGCCAGGATTATCTCCTCCATATAAGCGTTTGTGCAGCGTGTCATCGATTTGGAAGTTTCATGTATCATGTCAAAGACGAAGCTGAAATTTTAATTTACAATTGTTAGGTTATATATTAGCAAAATACTACATCAAACAGGATAAAAATCCAATCTCTTTGCATTATAGTTAATTAGTTTTTATTTCTACAGGAATAAAACCTTAAATTTTTTTATGTTTCAACTAGTTTATTTCAACTTGGTGTGGACGCTTGAATACATATATAATTGTAATAACTTTATTTTTCGATCAAACCTCAGTTTGTGTTCTCAAATAAAAATGAATATATTAAAAATATCATAGGAATAAAGTTTCACGATGGTAACATCATGTTCCTCACATGACGGAAGCAATAATCATTTAAGGCAATCCTAGCTTTAAATCAATAATCGGGCTTAAACTATCCTGATTTTATTAAACTGTATTTGATAAATAATTTTCCATTTGATATCAACATTTTTATGGCTCCTTATATCAATATGTCACACTTTGACATTCTCAGCAAGGTTGTATTATCTGAGATTACCTGGCTGTCCTCAAAAGACTGAAGCTAGACAATATTCGGCATATCTCTGTTCCTTAATCTATTTATAATCTCAACATTTTCCGATAGAAGTTGATATATTAAAAGGTTATTTCGAGATGAGATTTTATGTAATGAAATGGTGCATAGTGAAAAAATAAATAAATGTAGCATGTGCATGAGTATGTGTTAATGCATACGCGTTTAAGCCCAAAAATGGTAATTTTCTCTACATTTTTACCTGTAACTGAGCAAAGGGGCATCAACATGCAGCCAAATATCTTCTTCCATAAAGTGTGCTACATAAACCGGATCCATTTTATTATGGTGAAACTTACACCACATAGGCAAGAGGCTATTAAAGGAAAAAGAGGAAATTGTAGATGGGTATGAAAATTATTGTTTTGAAAATTTTTTTTTAGTGAAATCATCCTTAAAATAATGAGATTGCCTGATGTTTAGTGATGTTTTCAGATAGCTTCAATCCTCTTCAACCTTCTTCTCCCATTTTTTCCTGGGTTTCGTGCGCGAACGAATACAAATTCAAACTTGACTTCTCCTTCTGTGGCCTCATTTAGCGCACGATTTCTATTCATTTCAGGGACCCTTGATGGTTCGTGGATGTAGAAGTATCCTCTAGCATGTCGTACAAGCCGAATAATGGGGACAGAACCGCGGTTGGTTAAAATGCAGGACTCCCGACAGTATGCGTTCTGGTTCGAATCCTGCCATCAGATCTGCATGTGTTTGTTATTATGGCGTGTCTTTGGATATGACACTTTGCCACATCACTAAATAGCCTTCATAGGTTGCTGTAATGTAAGACAAGAAAGCGAAGCGACTGTCATATGAATAGAACTTGCGCATCGACTTCTCTTGTTCTTAAAACAGTTTTCTTTTCAGAAAATTTATCGTTATGTGTGGTCTGGCTTCTCCAAAACCCTCCTGAAAAAACTCCTTGCATTTTTTAAGTTCGTTAGTTTCTGAACCAATCGATTTTATTTCTCCATAAATTATTTTAATTATTGCATTACATAAAACGCTTTCAGCCTGACATTTTACAATATAAAACAAGAGAAAGACAGAATGCAGAAAATAATGTCTTTTTAATAAGGACTCCATCAAGTTGTTTTGCAATTTATTTTTTTTCCACAGTTCTCAAACGAGATGAATTTTGCTTGATTACATCCATATAAATTATTTTGCGCTTCAGCGTAAATGTGAGACTAGTGAAATTTGTGGCTTAGTGTCGTTGAGTAAATTTTTGGCTTCATGCCGTTAATTAAATTTTCGTTTGACAAATATTTCATGTAGAATATTATCTTTCATCTTTAACACTTAAATACTTTTTTTTTAGTTTTTACTTCAAGGGGTGCTCACCAGTTATTATGTACTTTTGAGAGAGTGACGTATGTGAGGTGAAGTTGTTTGCACTCCATTCCTCATAACCAACCAGTTCTTTGAAGAAAGGAATAGTAAACCTTTGTGTATCGGGGAAGGATGGCATGGAGATGTAACTTAATGGACAATAACCAGAACTTATAAAATGTCATGGAATTTGATTTGAGTCACATGATCAACCCAAATTTGTATAATGTTGCAAACATTCAAGATAAAATTGTATCTTATTTTCAATGATGAAAAGAAGCGTGTCAGATTTTATCGGAAATGATCTTTACAACATCTTCTGCACGGAAAGAGCTGGCATTCAACCGATTTATTGCGCATACACCAACAAATTATGCGTGGTAATATGTACACCTGTGTTCCATCGAACGCTTAACTTTGCGATATAAGAGCATACTTATAATGGATTTGAAGGACCCGCCATCATGCGAACATTATAATTACACAACAATTAGCAAACTATAGCAAGAAAGGATACAAAACCCCAAAACAAAAACGAAAACGAAAAGCCAACCTATTGTTGTTAAAGTATAATTTTCGTTCATCAATTTACATTCGCACTTAGTGTGACTTTTTCCATAAGCTATCCAACGTGTCTCAATCGTGTGTGTGTGTGTGTGTGTGTGTGTGTGTGTGTGTGTGTGTGTGTGTGAGAGAGAGAGAGAGAGAGAGAGAGAGAGAGAGAGAGAGAGAGAGAGAGAGAGAGAGAGAGAGAGAGAGAGAGATGGATTTTTAACGTAGCTTTAACAATTTTTCAGTCATATCGCTAAGATTTCGGCAGTGTGTCAGTTTATAATGATGTCAAGCAATGGGGCATTATGCATTAGACATGTAGCATCATGTCTCCCGCTCCCGTTACATCATCCTGACACCAGGCCGAGCTGTCCTAACTCTAATCTCTTAATGTTGAGCGCCTAGCGAGGCTGCTGTTAGTACCATTTGTATAAGTCTTTCGTATGACTCGGTCGGGGTTCGAACCTGCAACCTACCGCATCCTAAGCGAGCGCTCTAACCACTAGGTTAGCGAAGCAGTCTTGTGTTAATCATAGAAAGGATGAAACTTATTCAAATTGTTTCTGAACAACAACATATACATTGCTGTATGCTAATGATGGGAAACAAGGTTTAAATGAGACCGAACCTTTTTTGCTATCATATAACGGATATAAAATGCACTAATTTGGCTTGCGTCAAAATATGGCGCCTGAAAAGCAACCTTCACAACGCCGATTTTCTCAGACTGGACCTTTAATACAGTCATATCCATGCAAGCCTGGCCCTAGGGCAAGGCGAACGAGGTAACCGCATTGGGCCCCGAGTTTCTTCGCATTGCAGTGCTTTGCTTGGGGCCCCTCGCTCATTGTTTGCTGCGTTGGGCCCCGCACATCCTAGGACCGGGCCTGTATCCAGGGCCCTATTTAAGGTATAAGCTAAACAAGCTACAACTTGGAGCCCCACAGTCTGAAGGGGTCTCTCAAAATGTACAGCCTTATTCTCTGTTATCACTTACCAAATATGACCTCTACAGCTTACCAAGGCTTAGGGTCTCAGCCTGTCTAAATCCGGCACTGGTTATATCTATTAAGGATTGTACATTGGAAAAGCGACATTTTGTCATTCAACAATCGTGAATCTCAATGTTTGTATCTTAATAGCTGAATCATGGATGTTGTTAATCAAACGCGTGCCATTTCTTATTTCTGAACCAATCTATAAGACCGTTAAACGTATGGTAGGTAACTTCATGAAACAAAGTGTGAAGAGTTTGTGGATGACCTTCAGTTGTTTTATCCACATTCCTCGAGACGTGTTGATCTTTTTAAAAAATATTATATGATAATCTTGAGATTGGTGTGAACGTTGTAAAATTAAATGTTGGCAGAAGATGCATGTCAGTGTGTCTAAGGAGCTGAGAAGTACTTAGTGTTGGTTTTGTAAAATTATTTATAATTATTTTAAACTTTGTTAATTCGTTAACTTGAATTGACTTATTTTATAATCTTCTGAGTTATATAAAAAAACAGATAATAATTATCGAGATTTGTTCAGTAAAAAGAAAGCTGGCTGCAAGCGACTGCAAGAATTGATGTTTTTTTTTCAAACCTAAAAAAGTATTACCGTCATCATTTGAAGCTCTGATTACTTTTTATTTTCACTTTTTTTCTTGCCTTTTGAGCTGTTTTAGACCTGCTTTAAATTATTATCATCCGAGAAAACGGAAAACTTCATAATAGAATAATTTGAAGATCGACCACAGCTTGTCAAAAAGCTATTAAGCTCAGTGATTTGATAAATTTATCGGGTCTCTTTCATTTACGTGTTAGTACTATAACGGTTTGTAATGGCTTCCCAGTAAATGGTGATCATCTGGTCACTTTCTCCGCAGTAATGATACGTGCATGTTAGATAAAACTAGATGACGCTAAATCTCGATTTCATACATGATAAACTTCGGTCATTAAATTTTTTCCTACAACATTCTGCAGGGAAAAGCTAGGCTAACACTTTAAAAATGTAACTGTCTCCTCTTATTTGCTTTTCTGTCTTTCTACACTGGATTTCGAAAGTAAGAAAATCTCCATCTGCCAAGAGTATTCACGTATGTAGTTCCAACAGTGTGCTTGTTCGCTTCAAATAGAAAAAAAAAATTTTCATCATCTGTAGCTATCTCGTAACCTGCACATTCTATTTTCACTAGCAAGAAATCGGTTTTGTGATCCTAATAAATAGTGAAAATATCATTCCAAATTTGTAAAGAATAAGAAAATAAATGCCTCATTGCTAACATAGATCATGATTAGGACATCTGCTAGGTATATAATTTAGATTTTTAAAAAACACATTGCACTTAACCACTATATTTGCCTGTTAACTTTGATTTTAGTTATTTATTTTTCACAAGTGTTTTTTGAGTTACGATGTCTTTCATCTTTTTATTTTGGCACCATTGGTTTTCGATCTTAATTCCCCATATACTAATTATACAGGTTTACCCAACTCATAGTAACATCTCTTAATACAATTAGTACCCCAGTTAACTAGTTGATTGTTTCTCTTGTGAATTGATTTGAGATACCGATAAAACGGGATGAAATGTTTGATTGTTTTGAATGTATTATTGCCACTGGTGATGCTGTCTTTACGTACCATTCCAGATTAGACAAGATGATTGAATAATGCTGAATGCAAGTTTCTGCTGGATGCCGGGTCTTCGTGTCTCACACCTGTAGCACCATGATACAGACCCACAAACAGTGTATATGGCATTTGAACATAATCAATATTGGATGGACAAAATAATAATGGGCCAAAAACAACTTAAAGGCATCGCTTAGCTGTTAACCACCTCCCCATTCAATATAACTCCAACGGTAACACTGAACATTGTTAAAATTCAGAAATGTATAAACTGGAAACAAACTCATAGCTTTACTTTGATTTGTGTCAATATCACGGGTAGTATAATCTAATTTTTAAAGTAATATCAGATGTCAAGGATTTATTTCAAGAACCATCGTTGATATAACCTTGCATCGTTATGGCGGATGTTACATTTTCTGTTAAGGTGGTAAGTCCTTTGCTTTTCGTGATTTGAAGTAACCACACAATAAACAAATATTGATACACAAGAGACAAATGTTAACAGCTGATATTCAAACCTGTTATGTTCGCATTGCTTAAGGAAGTAATTTGTTTTGATCTCTTCTACATGAGGCACACTAAAGATTTCCACTTTCATAATGGCCATTAAAATAGGAAGCCATATTTAAAGCAAGATTCAAACCTTGAAACGTATGAGATATGGGACTTCATTAATTTGGACTACGATAGTCCCGAAATCTTGCAATCCCTACAAATATTTTTCGAAACGTTCTTTTTTTCTAACGAAAATATTGATTATCGATAAAGAAATGGCGTTCTAAATTAAAAAAATGAGTTTTAGCAAAAACGGATAAATAATAAGACATTGGTTTCAACAATCAAGAAATCTGATGAATAAGAACAAATGCCATCTGGCATCTTTAGATTTGTTCGCATTTTTATTGATTTATGTATGTGTACTATGTACAAAACAGCGGTCGTAACAAAGTTTTCATCTGCAATCTTTCGTCTGATTATTAATAGACGTCTACTTCAGCGATGACAGATGAATTGTATGCAACGAAAAGCTATGCCAACTGTGGAAGATTTCCAGATTATTTAAATACTGTGTGAAATAATTAAGTAGATAGTCGACATTTCTTGGTTTTTGTCAGCAAAAGATAGTTATTTCTGAAGATTAATGAAAATACATGTATGTACCACTATCATCATCATCATCGTCGTCGTCATCATCATCATCATCATTATTAATATTATTTTTATTATTATTATTATTATTATTATTATTATTATTATTATTATTATTATTATTATTATTATTATTATTATTATTATTATTATTATTATTATACGAAACTAGTGCATAAATTGAAAAATACGACAAACTAGAAGAGTGTCAATGAATTCTCATAAAAATTGTCATCTCACCCAAAGAAGAAAACTAGAATCTAATGTGTTAAACATGTGTCCTATCCAAGCCATGTACCTTAAATCTTGATACTTTAATAATGGCAGAAAATAGGGGTGATTATTTTAAGTTCCCTATCAAGGACATCCAGATCATTTTGACAGACAAAAATATTGTGTCAGTCACAAAATAGTCCCCGCGTAATCTTCAGAAGGATTGATGTCCTCGTAAAATTCCATTTTCAATCGGTATTCCTCAGAACTGAATTTGAAAAATGGCATTTGTTCGTTTAAATGATATAATATTTACATGATATAATATTGACATAATATAATATTGACATAATGTAATATTGACATAATATAATATTGACATAATATAATATCGACATAACACAATAGAGCCATAACATAATGCTGCGAGTGCTGGTTTGTAAGAAAATGCTTTACGCCCTGTTAAATGAGACCTTGCATTTTAGATAGCATCATCATTCTGAGATAGTACTGCTTCAAGTATATTATTATTATATTGCACTCAACGTGATATTATTAGTTGGCACACTATAACAGGTATCAAAACAAGTCTGTGTCGTATATATTTTTATGCAAAAAAAATATAAATGGGTGACTAAAACCGTCTAGAAAACTTGCACTTATTGCAAAACTCTAACTTTATTTTTCGATCAACAAAGATAATTAAAACCGTACAGTTTATATGAGCACGAGAAACGATCATTTTCCCACAAGGCGTTTAAATCTCCGCTCCATGGGTAATATTACCCCATGGTTTAGTGTCCAGAGTAAGGCGGCATTATCGTAGATTATCTGGCTTTTCCTACAAGACCGAAAGCAGTCGATTGACTAGCATATCTCAATCACTTAATCTTCATATCATATCGAAGTTTGGGGCAATTGTTAATATATTTCCCGCTACATCATGCGTCGTTTGGTTGTGGATTTGATGGAATGCTAAACAGAATAAACTACCAAGTAATTATTAGCTGACATAGGGCGATGCGGTTTGAGAAAAAGTGAACATTGAGCTGCAAATAAAATGAATTGTTGAAACATAGTATCAAGTCCTTTATGAATTAATCAAACAAATGGATTTAAGGCTAAGCATACAACTTGTGTGAAGCAAGATTTGTGATTCAGATCTAAAGTCACATGTAGCAGGAATCGTTGATAAAACGGTTTCGCTAATCTTTAAGGTTCTTATAGTAAACAATGCTGAATTACTCATCAGAATTTTACTAGTATCGTTGTATTTAAAGGAACTCTATTTTTCTAAAGTAGGATTATTTTTAATACAAAGGTTGGTAAGTATTTTCTTCGTATTTCTCCACGGACAAGCAGTAATAAAATGAAATGCATTATCGATATTACCATTACAAATTTTACACAATCTTTCCTCCTAGCAGATACTTTTATATCTTCCCGTATTAAATCTGATTGGCAGGTTTCCCGCTCTAAGCATAGTGATTATATAACAAAGATCGTTATCTCCCATCAATTCTGGATA